GAGAATAAAGTTCCTCTAGGTCCTATTCAGGATGTGGAGGATGCAGAGTGGAGAAGACCTCCCTTGCTGATCGGTGAGTGATGGAGGAGTTTGGTGTCCAAAGCTGACATTCATTTTTCCTAGGCTCTGTTTTTAGTTGGATCATTGGGACCTCTCCCACTCTTTACAGTTTTTGGAAAGATCATTCTTGTGAGTCCTCAACACGTTTTCTAAATCTCTGTGCACATACATCTTGTTGATCCAAGCTCCACTGTGATGTTTTTGCCTCAATCCCTTTATCTTTCGGTTCGGGGAGGTTGAAATCTGAATTTCTTCAGAGGGAGGGTGTGCCTGGTTGATCGTAGCAGAAAGAGACTGCTTTTCCTGGATTACTAAATCAATCCAGCCTAAGGCAACAGGATCAGGCTAATTTCTATGTTCCTGTGTCCTTGTCCCAGAAAGACTTTCCCCCTTGGTGTGTTCCTTCCCACAGATGTTCCCCTGTTGTAAATTGACGCCAATGATGTTTCAAGTGAATGAACACAATAGAGGGGTAAAGCCCTAGGGAATCAGGGGGGGAATTGAAAATAAAAAAGAAAGCCACACACAGGTACTATTTACTAGATAATAGAAACAAAAACATCCACACCCTGACATCTCAGGCATGAGTAACCCCAGTAAGGCACTTAGAGAGGAGGTCCTGTCAAGACGCCTGCCAAGTTCCTCGTTCCCCTTCCTGGTTTCCATTCTCATCTGCCTGCTCTTTTTTAAGATGTCGGTTAGGGCTTTCTGTGCGTCGGTAAGCACCTCTCTTTTAGCCAGAATCACAGTCAGCGAGATAAGAGAGGTATGAAGCAGAATGACAGATGTTGTCATAGGTTTTCCCCGAGACCGAGTGGGGAGAGGCAGGAACACATCCCATGTCTATTTTCCCTGCCTGTTTTCCTTTTGTGTCCCTACCAAAATGACTCATTTGCTTTGCCCTGGATGAGCCCTACAGCCTCTGTCACCTTGTGGGATGCACGCACTCTTCGCTTCTCTAAAGAAGTCTCGCTTTACCTTGGTGGAGGTGTCAGCTGACAATTCAGACTCAGTTACAGGAAACGTGTTAACAAAGGTCAGTACGCCAAAAGAGAGGGAGTTACCCGCAAATGAAGACCACAGGTTGCCAAGAGTTACAAAGTACCAAGGCCTGTACAGTATCTGAGCTGTGGGTCATATCCTCCAACATTCAGGCTTGGAACGCTTTGTTGGGGAGGAGGTCTGGGGACTAATAATCCTCTAAAGTCTACTTGGGGAAAAACTGTTACTTTGTTCTCTGGAGATATTTCACAGTCTCAGAGACTCTGAGAGCTGCATAGCCCACAGAGGTCATCCAGTGTGCTGGGTTCTTGAAGTTTTCCCATTAGAATTTTCTGGGGGTTGGGGACCCAGGCTTTACAAAATCTTGATGCTTAGATCTCAAGTCTGACCTATGACATCTGACTCTCTGGGGGTGGGGCCTAAGCATAGGTGTTTTTTTGTTTGGCTTTTTTTGTTGTTGTTTTTTTGAATTGGAGTCTCACTCTGTCACCCAGACTGGAGTGCAGTGGCCGCTCTCGGTCACCGCAGCCTCGCCTGCTGGGCTCCGGTGATCCTTCTGCCTCAGCCTTCCAAGTAGCTGGAACTACAGGCACGCGCTAACATGCCCGGCTAATTTTTGATTTATTGTAGAGATGCGATCTCGTCAAGTTGCCCGGGTGGGTCTCAAACCTGCGGGCTCGGGCAATCCACTCACCTCAGCCTCCCAAAGGCGTGGGATTACAGGCTGAGCCACCGAGCCCAGCAGCATAGGTGTTTTAAAGACTCTCCATGTGCTGCCCATATTCAGCAAAGTTGAGAACCTGTGATCTGAACCCTTACTATGCAAAGTGAGTTCTATGGCGCTGTAGTGCCACCAGGGTGCTTATTAGAAATGCACATTAGGCTGGGTGCGGTGGCTCAAGCCTGTAATTCTAGCACTTTGGAAGGCCGAGAAGAGAGAATTGCCTGAGTTCTGGGGTTCAAGACCAGTCTGGGCAATTTGGTGAGACCTCATCTCTGCAATAAATAAAAAAATTAACCGAGTGTGGTGGTGCGCACCTGTGGTTTCAGCTACTTGGAAAGCTGAAGCGAAGGATCGCCTGAGCCCAGCAGGTGGAGGTTGTGGTGGCCGTGAGTGACAGAGTGAGACTCCATCTCAATAAAAAAAAAAAAGAAAGAAATGCACATTCCTGGAGATTTGTATGTGTATTGAAATTTGATTTTTGGCCGGGCTCAGTGGCTTAGTCTGTAATCCCAGCACTTAGGGAGGCTGAGGCAATTGGACTGCCTGAGCTTGTGGGTTCGAGACCTCGTATCTACAATAAAATAAGATTCAAAAAATTAGCCGGGCATGGTAGCATGCTCCTGTAGTTCTGGCTACTTGGAAGGCTCATGTGGAAAGATTGCCAGAGCCTAAGAGATCGACACTGGAGTGGCTATGAGTGTGCCTCTGCACTCCAGCCTGGGCAATGGAGTGAGACTCCAACTCAAAAAAAAAAAATTTTTTTTTTGATATTTGCTTTTCTTGAAATATTGGACAATCTGGCAAAAACAGAGGCAGATTCTGTCTCTGCAATGACTAGGTGAAGTTGTGTAGTAGCACCCTTTAAGAGAGACCTCCATGCTCCAGTTTGCCTCAGTTCCACACCTAGCTAAGTTCATTAACTTCCTTATCTACCTGGGCCAAGTAGGAATTTGAGGACTTTTTTTTCATTACGCTACAATACACATAAAATAAGATTTAACATTAATGGCATGCTGTGCATTCACAATGTTGTGCAATGATCACCACTATCTTGTTCCAGAACATTTTCATTACTTCAAAAGGAAATCCTGTATCTATTAAGCACTCCCCATTCTCTCCCTTCAGCCCGTGGCAACCACTAATCCGCTTTCTGTCACTATGGGATTGCTTATTGTAAATGCTTCATATAAATGGAATCATACAATATGTGGCCTTTTGTGTCTCGCTTCTTTCACTTCTTTCAATGTCCATTCATGTTGTAGCATGTATTGGTATTTCATTCTTTTTTATTGTTGAATGATATTCTTTTGTATGGACATATTATATTTTGTTTATCCATTCATTAGTTGATGGGCATTTGGGTAGTTTCCAGTTTTTAATTATTGTGAAAAGTGCTGCTGTGACCATTTGTGTGCAATTTTTGTTTTTGTTTGAACATCTGTTTTTAGTTCTTTTGGGAATTCCATGAGTGGAATTGCTACTCCTATGGCAATTCTATGCTTAATGTTTTGAGGAACAGTCAAACTCTTTTCCTCAGCAGCTGCACTATTTTACATTCCTACCAACAATGTATGAGGTTTTTCTACATCCTTGTAAACGCTTATTATTTTCCCTTTTTTTCTTTTTAAATTCTAGACATCCTGGTAGGTATGAGGTGGTATCTCACTGTGCCTTTGACTTGCATTTTCCTTATAACTAATAATGAGTAACTTCTTATGTGCTTGTTGGTCATCTGTATGCCTTTTGTGAGAAAATGTCTATTTAAGTCCTTTGCTCATTTTCAAATTGGGTTGTTTGTCCTTTTGTTGTTGACAGTGTTTGTTATATTCTGACTATTAGACCCTCACCAGATATCTGCTTTGCAAATATTTCCTCCCATTCTGTGAATTTTTTCACTTTCTTGGTAGTGTTCTTTGATGCAGAAAAGTTTTTAATTTTGATGAAGTCCAGTTTATCTATTTTTTTTTCTTGTATTGCTTTGTGCTTTTAGTGTTAGGGAGTTAGAGATATTTTCTTTTTATTTATTTATATTTTAAAGATGTGGGGTATCATTCAGGATTAGGTATACAAGTGGTCATCGTACAGGTAAAGTTGAGGCCTCCTTTTGATCCTCACTTCACCTAGTTTGAGATCAGGAACTCTTGATGTTATGTGCCACCTCCCCTTCCCCTGGCCGTTCCTTGCTACTGCCAATCCCTTTCTTATAGAATTATGATGTCAAGGTCCGCTTATGAGTGAGAACATGAGGTACTCAGTTCTTTGCTTCTGTGATAGAACACTGAGTATTATAGACTCTGAATCCATCCAAATTGCTGCAAAGTCTGAGATATTTTCACTTAGACAAGATCAATGGATAGGGCTCCAAGGAGAAAGAAGATGAGGATGGCTAGAGATTTCTATCTCCAGTTCAACAGGAAGATCTCAGAATATATCTGCTTTATACAAGGTTCTGCATACACACACACGCCCCCCCCCCCACATATACATACACACATATGTCTACATATACCATAGATTAGAACTACTGGGTTGTGCTTCTTAAACTAACCATTGAATATTAGTGGGAAACGTTAGTGTGTCAGGTGGTCATTCTGAAAACCAGTCCTAAATGGTGTATATAGAAATGAGAACTTAATATTTTCTGATTTCAATTGTTTTACTTGTAACAAAGTGTGCATCTTTTGAAAAGTATACAATGTTTCTTTTGTTCCACTTGCCACAACTGTGGGAAGTCAGGATAGTTGTCCCAAATCAAACCCACTGTATACCTGGCAGCAGCTCATCCACACTTAAGGAATATTTCCTAGAAAAGATGACCAATCTCAAGCAAACCAGCCTTGGAGCAGGTGCTGCATTTGTCTGAAGTCACACAGCAAGTAAGTGAGAGTTTAAACTCAGGTCTTTTCATTTCAAATCTAAGGCTCTGCCCCCTAGGCCCTAGCTACCTATTGATCTCTGTTATTGGCATTGCTACTATAAGCTGTTATCATATTCTGAAGTCTTCTATGTGCTAGCACGTCTAATCTTCCTCTCGAAAAACAGCTTGAGCAACGACCTTTCTCACAGGTTGCAAGCAGGTCGGTAGGTCGTCCTGGTTTCTGCGCATGCCCAGACTCCACCCATCGCCCCTCACTCTCCCCCCCACCGCCCTACCCTCCCAGCCCCGTCCCCTTAACTGCGCAGGCGCTCTCGCTCCCTGAGACTGCCCTGGGAGGGGAGCGCAAGGGCGGTGCTGGTGACGCGGCTGGGCCGTGGGCACACTTAGGCACCCAGTGCGCGTGCGCGAGGCTGGAACCTAGGTTTTCGGAGGAGGTTGGAGATGGCAGCGGCCGAGGCGGCTTCACTGGAGCCCGCGGCTCCGGAACAACCTGCGGAGCTGCCTGCCTCGGTGCGGGCGAGCATCGAGAGGAAGCGGCAGCGGGCGCTGATGCTGCGCCAGGCCCGGCTGGCGGCGCGGCCCTACCCAGCGACGGCGGCTGCGGCCACTGGAGGTTTGGGCCCTGGCGGCGCTCGCCTCTTTCCTCTCCCCGCCTCCCTGCTTCCCAGATAGGCTCGTCCCGGGCGTCGCGTCAAGTCCGCTCACCCTGCGCGCAGATTCCCGACCACGGATCGATTCCGTGGTAGAACCCAGGTCTCCTGGCTCCCAGTTCCGGTCTTTTCTCTCTGCGCCTTGGCTGTCGAGCTTCGGCTTTTCGCTTGGGGATGCGGCCGCCCCCGCAGGAGGTTCCTGTCCGGGACTCAGCTCTCCCGGAAAGAAGACTCAGGCTAGTTCTTGGTTCTGGCCTATGTATCTAGGACTAGCTGAGGAAAGGGGGGCGGTTTTTGGTGATTGTTAGGGAAGAACTTTCAACAATTGGGAGTACCAAAAGTGGAATGAATTGCTTCTAGGGAACTGCCCATGATTAGAAGCGCTCAAATAGACTGGGAGAACCCTAGCTGACATGGAATTAGAGGAGATTCAACTATCAGATGAAGGGACTGGATGGCAAACCCCTAAGATTCCTTCTAATACGTAGATTCCATGAGTCTGCGTCCTTGGACATGTGATCTATACGATTTCTTGGCAAAAAGTAGATGCTTAACAACATATTTGTTGGTGGAAGTAAATTAAGGGCTGATCTCTTATTGCAAATTATTCTTTTATAGATATTACTGGGGTCAAATAATAATCTTTCCCAGAGTACTTAACATATAGTTTGGTTGACAGGCAGTTCTTCAGGACTGTCTCTGTAACATGAAGTACGTGTGGTCCTAAAGCTCTGCCCTATACTGTGTGAGTAGTTGAGTAGAGTTTAGAGCGGTGTTATCACCTACTCCCTCTTATCAGCCCGAAGTAGGGAGAGGGAGGAATTTGGTACGCTGCCTGTCTTGTTATTCATACTGACACCTAAACTGCAAACTCTAGTTGCTTTTCATGGTCCTGGTCTCATCCTTTCTGCTTTATAATGGTTTTCATCCGAGGTGTGAGGATCTTCTGGTGAAAAAGATTATTTTAAAAAAGTAAATAGTGATTTTCTTTTATTCTTTTCTCAACTTGAGGCATTCTAGAGTCAGGACAAAGTTGTTCATGTGCGCTGATTAATATTCATGATTTCTAGCTCTGTACTGCAGAAGGCTGTGGAACAGAAAGTGCAAAAAAGAGCAAAAGCTGGTATTAAATCAAACTTCTAAAGATGGAAATCAGGGTAGAATGAGTATTCTGTAAGATTTCTTAAGCAGTTACCCAAGAACTGAACTGTGTTGAAGTTGGGGTCTTTATCTCTGCAGTACTTTTATTTCAGTGTACTATACAATTTTCATTTTCTCTGCGTGCTATGACATATGCCATGAAAAATACAGAAAAAAACTTTTTAGAATGCCAAGCGTGGTGCTAAGGTCCTGAGGAAGCAGCAAGGCATAGCAGCAGAGAGAAATTGGGCTTTGTTTTGGGCATGATTTAGCTGTGTTCAGATCCGGCTCAAGTCACGGCCTTGACTACTCCAGTTTTCCGTGTTCATTCTCATTGTGCTTATGGTCTTTCCATTCTTTTGCTACCCTATTCATGAAATCATATATTCTGGTGCATTCAATCATTTCTATCCATCCAGTAGATCTTCATGGGATGTTTACTATTTATCTGAATTAGAGATAATGTCACTCAGTCTAATGAAGGGATGTAGAGAGATGAATAGACAATATAGTATATTGTGAGAATTGCTGTTAACAGTGGAAACAAGCTTTTAATGAGATGACCTTTCATTTAAGGTAGGAAGAAACTGAGACTAGAGAAGGGGAGTGACTATAGCAGAATGATCCATGTTAAATTTGTATTTTTTTTTTTGAGTTGGAGTCTCACTCTGTCACCCAGACTGGAGTGCAGTGGCCGCTCCCGGCCACCGCAGCCTCGACCTGCTGGGCTCCGGCGATCCTTCCACCTCAGCCTTCCAAGTAGCTTGAATTACAGGCATGTGCTACCACGCCCAGCTGATTTTTTTGATTTATTATAGGGATGAGTTCTCGCTGCCCAGGCGAGTCTCGAACCCGCGGGCTCAGGCAATCCACTCACCTCAGCCTCCCGAAGGCACGGGATTACAGGCTGAGCCACCGAGTCCGGCAAATTTGTATTTTTTTAGAAATTGAGGTATAACATATGTAGCTATGTAAAATGTACTCTTCTGAATTTTACCTATGTAAAGCTCATATAAGTGTCATAGTGATCAAGTTAGAGACATTTCCAGAAACTTAGACGTTTTCCTTTTGCTCCTTCCTTGTCACTGTCTACTCGTTACTCTTAGAATTAACTACCATTCTGATCATGTGATTAGTATGATCTTTTTTTTGGAGTTGGAGTCTCACTCTGTTGCCCAGACTGGAGTGCAGTGGCACGCTCCCGGCCACTGCAGTCTCGACCTGCTGGGCTCCGGTGATCCTTCCGCCTCAGCCTTCCAAGTAGCTGGAACTACAGGCACGCACTACCACGCCCGGCTAATAATAGTATTATCTATTTTTGAACTAAATGTAAACGGAGTCAATCATACAGTGTCTGGCTCAACCCAGTATTTGAGAGGTTCACGCATTTTGTTGCGCGTGTTGGTAGTTTGTTCATTTATATGTTATATAGATTCTTTTGTATTCCACAGTTTTTCCATTTCTCTTTTGATGGATAGTTGGGTTGTTTACAGTTTGGGGCTATTATGAATAAAACGTTTGTGAGCATTGTTGTGTATATCTCTTGGTGGCCATATGCACTCATTTCTATGGTGTATATGCCTAGAGATGGGATTGCTGGGTCATAGGGGAGGTGTATGTTAAGCTTTGGCAGATATTGCCAAACAATGATTATATCAATTTACAATCTCACAAGCAATGTATGAGAATTTTGGTTGCTCCACATCCTCACCATTTGGTATTGTCAGTCTTTTTCATTGTAGACATTCTGGTGAGTGGAATGAAATTTCATTGTGGCTTTAAGGTGTATTTTCCCAGTCATGAATGAGGATGAGAACCTTTTCAGGTGTTTATTGGTCGTTTGGGTCTCCTCATTCGTGAAGTGCCTATTCAGTTCTTTTGCCTATTTTTAAAAGTTGTCTTTTACTGATTTATAGGATTTTATGATATATTCTGGATGTGAGTCCTTTGTCAGATACACAGGCACTAGCTCCCCTTACCCATGGTTTCACTTTCTGCAGTTTCAATTACCTTTGGTCAACTGTGGCCCAAAATATTAAACGGAAAATTGCAGAAGTAAACAATTCATAAGTTTTAGATTGAGCACTAAGTGGTGAGATGAAATATTAAGAGGACTCTATTGCCACCCTGGATCTGAATCATCCCTTTGTCCAGCATATATATGACATTTATGGTGACTGTACCCACTTGGTTGGATATCTAGTGGCCATCTGGGTTATCAAATGGAAAAAACATATTTATGGTTCGGAACTATACAGGGTTTAAGGCATCCACTGAGGGTCTTAGAACACAATCCCTGCAGATAAGGGGGGACTATCATATTGCAGATATTTTCTCCCAGTTTGCATCCTTTTTATTCTCATAATGATGTGTGAATGAATAGAAGTTCTTAATTTTAATCAAGTCCAGTTTAGCACTTTTTCTCTTAGTACTTTTTGTGTCCCATTTAAGAAACTTTTGGCTATTTCAGGTTCATGAAATTATTCTCCTGTGTTTTTTTTTCTACAAGTTGTATTGTTTTATCCTGTACATTCAAGACTATAATCCATTTAAAGTTTTTTTGGTGTACACAGATTGTTAGGTCACATTTCCAGCGGGGCCTCCAGAATGTTGTTAGGCCAGGCCCTCTGGGGGTGTGGGTGTCTGGTGTGTGATCAGTGCCACGTGAAAGATGCAAAGAATTGCACAGAAGTTAGATTAGAAAATATAGTTTATTTGGAAAGTAAATGAGAGAGAGAGAGAGAGAGAGAGAGAGAGAGAGAGAAAACAAAGAGGAGATTCACCTCACCAAGGCGGGGAAGGAGGCCACACCAGGATACATGGCCATATAGCTCAGAGAGCACGAGTCTGGTAAGGCAATGGTGACTGGCTGCTCATGGTTGAGTCCTTTTAATCCTTCCCTTTGAAGGGGGAAGGTCATTAAGGTGATTGGGTGGTGGTCTGCTCCACATTATCATGAAGGGGCAGGTGAGCTCAGGTATTGACGTCAGGTAATGGACAGCAGGCAGATGGGTGTGTTAGTTGCATGATTGCTTCCATGGTGGTGGGGGTCTGTGTCACATAGGTTATGAAGGTTAACTAGGTCTTGTGGGTAGAAGCAAATACTTGAAATAGAAAAGCTAATTAGTAACAAGCTGGGGAGAGAGTTGTAAAGCAACTATCAATAGCTGCCTCTGAGAAAACCGGTTCTGTCCTTGGCTGGTGATTAGAGGGTAAGTTAAGTGAACTACTAGAAGAGACATGAGATTTAGGCAATGTTAAAATGGCTATTCATTGGTTGTATTAAATCTATGTTATGTCCTTTCACATAGTATATGAGGTTAGGGCCAAAGTTCGTTTATTGGAAAAAGACTCTTTCTGTATTGTAGTGACTCCTTTGACATAAATCTCAGCACCACTTATTGAAAAGATTTTCCTTTTCCCACTGAATAGCCATGGAGCCTTTGTCATAAGTTAGATGCCTAGTATGTGTGGATCTATTTCAGGATGCTCTCTTCTGTTCCACTGGCCTCTTTATCTATGTGCTAGTATCTCAGTGTCTGAAGTTTTATAATAAGTCTTTACATCTAGTAGTGTAAATCCTCCAATTTTGTTCTTTGGGACTATCTTGGCTAGTCTAGGTTCTCTTGTCTATTTACATATATATGTTAAAATCAGACTGTCAGAACTCTTCCCCGACCCATCAGTTTATAAACACACACACACACACACCCCACTGCTGGGGGTTTGACCACAATCACTTTGAATCTTTAAATGAATTTACAACATTGAGGCTTAAAATCCACACATGGTATATTTCAGCATTTATTTAGGTTGTCTCTGATTTTTCTTTTTTTAAAAACAATTTTTAAATAATTTTATTAAAATGTCATATATTCAAACAGTATTTTAAAAGACAGATGTTTACAGTCATATATATTTATTATTATTTTAATCCTTCATTTCACTCTTCCATGCATAGGTTCTTTTCTCATAGTATCCCATTCTTACTGTTTTTCAAAACACTTCTTTTTAATTCTCTTTGCTGTCAGTTGTGCATCTTTTGGGTGATTTTTCTTATTGTAGTTTTCATTTTAGAGGTTTTATACATCTTTTCCTAGATCATTGTTATGTTTTAATTCTAATTGTAGATTCTTGTGGATATTTTATGTGTATAATCACATCATCTGTAAATAAATATTGTTTTACTTATTTCTTTTCAACTTTTATACTTTTAAAATTTTCTTGCTGTATTGTACTAGCTGGGATCTTCAGTATAATTTTTTTTTTTTTTTGAGTCAGAGTCTCACTCTGTTGCCCAGGCTGGAGTGCAGTAGCACACTCACGGCTACCCCAGCACCGACTTACTGGATTAAGGTGATCCTTCTGCCTCAGCCTTCCAAGTAGCTGGAACTGCAGGCTCGTGCTACCAAGCCTGTCTTATTTTCTGATATATTGTCGAGATGAGGGCTCACCAAGTTGCCCAGGCTGGTCTCGAACCCTGGGCTCAGGCAATCCTCTCGCCTTGGCCTCCCAAAGTGCTGGAATTACAGACTTGAGCCACAGTTCCTGGCCTAGTATAGTGTTGAATAGGAGTGGTAATCATGGACATCTTTGTCTTGTTTGATATATTGAACTTAAAGAAATTTCCTGTTTATGCACAAGGGAACATATGGGCTTACCTAGTTCAATTGTTGACCACTTTTACTTACTTTTTGTAGGCATGGCTAATGTAAAAGCAGCTCCAAAGATAATTGACACAGGAGGAGGCTTTATTTTGGAAGAGGAAGAAGAAGAAGAACATACAATTGGAAAAGTTGTTCATCAACCAGGTAAAGTGAGTTTTTCAGAAAATAAGTATCTAGATTGGTTATTTTGAGTAACATGCATAATTCTTTGCAAACTGATGCTAAATAATGCCACACTTGCTTTAATCAGTGAGCAGATTAACTTTATAAAAGTGATAAAGTTTGACAGTTTTGCTAGTAGATTAAAAAAATCAAAGAAACATCCATATATTTGGAATTATTATTTAACTTGTGGTTCATGTACTTAGGAATTGGTGTCCGCTGTTATTTTGTAATAGGCAGAGACAGTCGATATATTGACTGATAGAATAAATACTCAAAATTCTCTTTAGGCTGAAATGTGAGGCCAGAACACAAGAGATTATTAGGATATGCTTTTATTTATCTTTGGAGAATAAAAGCAGTTTACAAAGTAAAAGATAGGGAGACCTAGCATAAAAAGAATATAACTATTATCTAGGGTTAGCACTTTGGTGAATCATTTATACACGTACATATTCTTAGGGACTCAGGATACTTTCACACTTACTTATTCATAAGTTTGACATCCAATAGTATAATATAACAGCTTAAAAAAGCTAGCCTTTAGCTGCAACAACAGAAGTGCTGTGTATTCATCAAGGTAGGTGGTAGCCCTGTTCTTATCTATGTGTGTCAAAACTGTTGTTTTCAGAAGCTGAGATATAAAGGATTAAAATATTTGTTTTTATTTTGTGGGTCATATTTTAAGAGAGATATCAGCAAATTTATGGTGTCCAAAAGAGGATGACCAAATAGAAATCTTGAAATTGACATATGAGGAACAGTTGTCAAAACTGGTTAGGTTTAACTTGGAGAATACTTCCAGCTGCTTGCAAATGCAAGAAGCACTACTCTGTGGTAGAAAGATTGCACTTACTGTGATATGCTTTGGAGGGAAGAACTTGGAGCAGTGGATGACAATTATAGTGAGGGAGATTTCAGCCCAGCATTATAAAGATGTACCTTAAGTTAGTTAGCACTTGGCACTTAGAGTGTTAGTATATCAGGTGAGCCTCACAGTGATTCTGTGAAATGGAGAAACTTCCTAACCATGTGAATTACTACCTCTAAATAGCAAAGCATTGGAAGGGTTCAGAAATTGAATGGTGACCACCTGGCTACGATATTGTATAGAGGTACTGCATTAGGAGAGAATATATTGAAAAAAATTTGTTGAGAACCCACAGTAGTGCCTTGCTACTTGGCTAAGGTAGGCAAGTGGTTGGTGCATTGATGTAGTGCTGCTGCTTGCACATAGAACTTGAGTAGTGAATTTGTGCAAATTTGAAAAGGTGTTCTGTTTGGATGACAAATGAGAAAAAAGCCCTCTTTGGGCTAACATAGCTTGGGCCAGGGTCATGGCTTTACTAGGGGACATGGGCTGGGTTGTGGTCCCTGTATGCCTGCCCCTTGACAGGATACTTTTGCACAGTGGGCATACTTGTACAACTTCATGTGATTGACTTATGTGGGTAGAGGAAAATGGGAGTTTATGGTTAGTTTTAAAAGAGTCCCCAAAGATGGCTGTGCCCCAAAGATGTCTAGTTCTTCAGGCATAACTGAGAAAAGTCAAAATAATTTAGACCGTTAAGCTTTGTTTCTTATAAAGCAAAGCCTGAGATACCTTTAAGGGTCTAGAACAGTGATTCATCAGAATCACCAGGAAGGTTTTATTAAAACAGATTGCTGGACCCTATCCCTAGAATTTCTTTTAACTTAGTAGGTCTGAGAATTTGTTTCCAACAAATGCTTAGGTGATGATGATGGTGCTGACCCAGGGATCATACTTTGAGAACCCTTGGTTTAGGAGATTAACTCCATTGTGTACTTTAGGTGAATGCAACCACATGGGGAGAGAAGTGCGTAACATGAGGTCAGACACCTTAATATCTTTTTTTTTTTTGAGTTGGAGTTTCACTCCGTCGCCCAGACTGGAGTGCAGTGGCCGCTCCCGGCTACCGCAGCCTCGATCCACTGGGCTCTGGTGATCCTTCCACCTCAGCCTTCCGAGTAGCCGGAATTACAGGCGCGTGCTACCATGCCCGGCTGATTTTTTGATTTATTGTAGAGATGAAGTTTCGCTGCCCAGG